TTATAAACCGGAGCGGGATACAATTTGAAAAATCAGTGCCAGACCATGGGCCCATCATGTGGACAATAGATGTACAAATTCTGGATTCGGAGACATGTACCAATAAAATAGCCAGTAATAATAATTGGTATGACACGAGAAAGATACCTAGTGATTTTCTTAAAACGGCAGAAGCTTTGTCCTCCGAACGGATTAATGATCTTGAAACAGACCTGAATGAAACTCAAAACATAAACACTGCATATGCTAAGTTTATAGAGATTATAGAAACAGAGTTACAAAATCGTGCCGTGCCATTTCGTAAGATACCGTCCGGACCAGCTACAACAAAAAGACGGAAGTGTTTATCTAAGCCGTATTGGAACGAGGAACTATCCACTCTGTGGGACATTGTATGTAAAAAAGAGAAGGCATGGTTAAACTGCACTGAGCATCGTTCACGGAGGAAACTTCGAACAGAATTCTGTGTGAAAAGAAAAACTTTTGATAAGACTAATCGTAGATATAAACGTCAATACCAAGCAAACAACAGGACATGCTTATCTCAACGTATGGTAACCCAAATAAGAGAGACTTTTGGAAACAGTTTGGAAAAATCGGAATCGTTAACGATAGGAGAAATGGAATTCCATTAAAATAGAAACTGAAAACGGATTTATTTTAGATCATGGAGCTGTTCTAGATAGGTGGAAAGCCGACTACAACAATTTGCTGAATGTACCATTAAGCGACGATTTTGATGCTGCACACTTGGAGGATATAAAAAACGGTAGGCACATATTTTTGGAACAAGACTGTAAATCTTTAAACGGGAGAATAGGCGAGCACGAGGTCCGAAAATCCGTATATCATATGAAATTAGGAAAATCGGCAGGAATAGACCATATAGTCAGTGAATGCATCCGCAACGAGACCTGTATAGTTTTATTACACAATATTATAAATAAGTGCTTTGAAACTGGTAAAGTTCCGGAATTGTGGCTTAAAGGCATAATCAATCCGATCCCTAAGAACGATAGTGGAAAGAAATGGGACCCAATGGCATATAGGGGAATCACTTTATTATCTATCCCAAGCAAAGTATACACACACATCCTGAACACAAGACTGTCACAGTGGTTAGAGGATAATGACGTCCTGGCAGAGGAACAAAACGGTTTTCGTAAAGAAAGAAATTGTGTCGACCACATTTAAGTGTTGAACAGTATTATAAACAATAGAAAATCAGCCAAACAGCAAACATTTGCCTGCTTTGTTGACTGCAAAAAAGCTTTCGATGGTTTGAATAGATCCTGTTTGTTGTTTAAATTAAAAACTCTAGGTATTCATGGTAAATTTCTGGATAGTATAGTATCACTTTATGAGAATGTGTCTTGTTCCGTTAAAGTGAACTATTCATTAACTGAATGGTTTCAAGTAACTCAAGGTGTCAAACAGGGTTGTGTTTTATCACCAACATTATTTTCTATATATGTAAATGATTTAGTTAAGGAACTGAATGCTATTGAATGTGGTATAGATATCGATGGTAAAATGATCTCTGCATTTTTATATGCAGATGATATAGTTCTTTTAGCACCAGATGAAAACACACTACAACGACTGTTAGATGTATTAAGCAATTGGTGTCGTAAGTGGAGGTTAGTCATAAATGAAGATAAAACTAAAATTGTCCATTTCCGTAATCCTAGTGTCAACAGGTGCACTGTTAAATTTAATTTTGATAACTTAAATATCGTATACACCAGTGAATATAAATACTTAGGTATATGGCTCAATGAATTCTGTTACTACTCATTTAGTGCTAAAGAACTCTCAAAATCAGCAAATAGGGCATTAGCTGTGATAAAAACAAAGTTCACTCAATTTGGTGGCTTTAATTTGAATGTATATAATAAGTTATATGAAGCCCTTGTATTACCTATCCTTACATATGCATCTGGAATATGGGGAATCAATACCCATAGATGTATTAATGTGCTTAACAATAATGCCTGTAAATTTTATTTGGGTTTAACTAAACGGAGCAGCAACATAGCTTCTCGGGGGGATATGGGCTGGTTACAGGGGGATACCATTCTGAAAATAGAACTATTTCGCTACTGGAATAGAATTAAACTAAAGGGAAGTAACTTATGTAAAGATGTGCATAAGTGGAGCATTAGGCGTAAAACATCATGGGATTATCGGGTTTTGAAGTTAGGTGAGGAGCTAGATGTTTTAGTCAATGAAAATGATATTGTGTGCCTCAATAATGTTAAAACAAAGTTATCCGAAAAGGATATAGATCATTGGTCACAGAGCTTATGGGATGATAAGACTTGTCTAAATGGCAATAAACTGAGATCATATCGTAAATATAAAACATTGTTTGGTACGGAACCGTTTGTTCAAGTAGTTAAGAATAGGTCACACAGACGAGTTTTGTCAAAATTAAGAGCTGGATCACTTCCCCTCAGAATTGAAACTGGACGTTTTTTAAAACCACCCGAGCCCGTGTATGATAGAATATGTATATTTTGTAATGATAGACAAGTTGAGGATGAAGAACATTTTGTTTTTAATTGTGATTTTTATAACGATATAAGACAATCAATATGTACCAGAGCCTGCCAAATTGAACCAACCTTTAACCTGTATGATAATGTAAATAAAATGTACTTCTTAATGAATACTACTGATATTTTACCTCATTTTGCATCTTGTATATATAGAATGTTTGAACAGAGGAAAAATGCTCTTTTAACCTAAACGTTTACGTAGTTATTTGTATTGTATGTGTCTCACTTTTATTGCTATTTATCATTTTTTAACCTATACTGTTGAATGTTTTAATTGTTTTGCATATGTATAGTGTCTCATAAGTCGTTATCGGCTGGTATCTTAATAATTTTGTTTCTATGTATTTGTGCAATGTATTTTTGTAAAGATGGTGACACTGATTAAAATAAAATATTATTATTATTATTATTATTACTAAACGCTATAGCCCGTAGACGTTAATTATAATTTATAAGCTCAATTTAAAGTTTAAAACAAAGAATACTGGATACAGGTGATTAATGAAATATTTAAGACAATATGAAGTAGATATAAATGGGGGGTAATTAAGGTGGATTAAGATCCATTCAAATATAATTGACTGAATTATGTAATACTGTGCGGATTAGCATGACGTATTAAACATTTACTATTGAGTCCAAATTCACTCTACTATAATACTTCTGAATTTATTAACATGCTACGTTTCGATACAAATAATTATTTGTTTGATAACGATATCTGTATGTGTATCGAAACGTAGCATGTTAATAAAATTCATAAGTAATATATCCATATAAGTGTTTTTAATATGTCTTAATCTTTTAAATAAAACTCGTGCTAAAATCTTATAGTCAGTATTGAGTAAACCAAACGGTCTTCATTTTTTTTTTAAATCAATTCTATCACCACGATTCTTATACAATAAGGTAAGAATATCACGCTTCATGATCCGGGGCATTTCATTCTGATTTAAAATAGACTTTACAATCTTAAAATAAATAGGACCTAAAACACCCCAAAATATGTGTAAAACTCGGGAGTTAATCCATTCAAACCTGGAGATCGATTTTTATTTAAACATTTCAATGCATTATATGTGGTTTTACATCCATTTTAGTCTATTTTAAGGATACAAAGAATATCACCACACAACCGTTAATGCAGTAATCACTCATGGGCGTTCGGGCTCGATAAATGACTTGGGGTGGGGGACCTGGGATGCCTGAACAAATTCCCGTTTACAGACGGTGGTGCCGGTCGGGAGTGAGCGCCAAAGACTCCGAACTTGCTGTCAGGGAGTGTTGCCCCCCTCCCCGTCTGACAATTTGTAAAATTAAAGTGCTATTCCAAATATGGTCTAATATAGCTGTATTGGTGTGCTCTTGCTACCGAAGGCGCAGATCGCTATGTCGACAGGTATGGTGGTGGTGGGGGTGACTCCCTGAAAAAAATTAGACGCAAACTTTTTTTTCCTGCCAATCCAGCCCGAGAATACAGCAACTTCAATGTTGTCCAATATAGCTTAACTTAGATGGTGTACCTGAATTCTAAACATCCAATCAACTGGTTCGTCTACGGAGCGTCGCAAATACGTTTTTCTGCTATTCTATCCCGTGGGTTTTGCAATCGGAATTCCAATCCAACAATCATAATGTTGCAGCTTCATTCACAAATAGAAATCGATGAACGAAAAATGTCCCACAAAGAAGAGTGTCTCCAGACAAAATGTTTTAGTCTAAATTCAATTAAGTATTTAATTTTAAAAAAAGTTAGCGTTTAGGAGATATCGGGCAATTTATTCGGCCAACTACATATATAATTATCCTTTTCCCGTCAGATTGCACAAAAGCTAAAGGGTGGCTGCTACCCAATCCCCCATCCCACCCCTTCGTACGCCTATACCGTATTTCTTTAGCAGTATGAAACTGAAAGCATGTTTAGGAAAAGGGAATCTCTATTAAAATTCTACTTCCTTATCGTGTGTCTGTTGTATCATGATTCGCGCATTTCAACCGACGGGGAATGATCAATGCCACCCATTGAAAAGTAAACATGCAGCAATAAAAATGAAAATGTATAATGTATAAAGCTTCCCAATAGATTCTACTTTGTATTGAACACCAGGCATTATTTATAGGTAGTCGGGGCGGCGATAAGACGTTCTTTAGTTTATAGGGAAAGGAAGAAAGTTTCGCTCGGCTGATTCCATTCAACTTGTGAGGTAACCTTAAATTGTGAAATAGTAACCGAGTTCATTGTTTGATTGCAAGGGCGCGCGTCCAAGCTGTACAACAGGACAGGTAGGTTAATATTGATTTAATATTTTACACAAAAAAGATAATTTTGGTCTTGCTTTTCTTTAACTAAAGTCATTATTCAATATCCAATTATTTTTTTTTTAGTTCCCTTCATTTATACTTTTCAGATATATATATACACTTATTTACCTAAACATCATGGCAGCTAATGTTTTGAGATTTTATTTGCTTTTGGTGTTTCTCTCCACGGTCGAACTCTCCAAAAACTGTACCTACACCTATGATGCGAAGAACAAGGGCGTGAACGTGGATTGTTCTCGTGGTGGATTGTCTACTGTACCGGATGATTTACCTCTAAATACGACATCCCTGTATTTAAACAACAACAAGATAAAGCATCTGTTACATAATCAGTTTGTGAAGTTAACCAACTTAAAATATCTGAATTTGAATCTCAACCCGATCAGTGATATCCATGAAAAGGCTTTCAATAATCTGTTTCAGCTTCAGGAGTTGCAACTCAATGGACACGATCTCAACTATTCCGTTAAATCTCTACCAGACAAGGTCTTTAAACCACTGACTTCTCTAAGACGTTTAAGTATCCGATCAACCTTTAAATATACTAGTAACAAGCACCATTTCATCTCACAGGGTAAGATCCTCGGCTATTTAGTTAGTTTGCAATCGCTTCGTATCGATGCGTGGATCGTTGATAACTTTAATTGGGGTTTCTCCAAACTTCATAATCTACAAGAACTTGATTTGTCCGCCACATTCATAGATGGTATTTCATTTACATGTCAACTACCTTATATTACTAATACTACTTTCATTGTCTTTAAATCAATTCCGATTTCAACTATCAATTTATACGTGTGTGTGCTACATTATATAGATAGGGATTCCTTCGCTCCATTAACAAGTCTTGAAAATATGGTTTTATCGACGTCCAGAACATACTCTAATGTTGCTATACCTCAGCTTATAGCTACATTACATGTATTTAAAAACAGATCACTTAAATCTGTTCAGATAATTAACAGTAAACCTCATTTCTGGTATTTACAAGCACCGGGTTATCCGTTATCATTGGAAATACTTTCTGATATTTGTATAGAGGAATTAGTTCTGTCTTATAATCAAATCAATATGGTAGATTTCTCAATATTGCTGACTTTTCCCATACCACCCTTAACGAAGTGTTTGAAGCATTTGGACTTATCACGAAATGCAATAACAGGTAAAATAGCACACCCAGTAGATGCTTATCTCCTTCTACCTCTATTTGTAAATCTAGAATATGTGGATTTATCACGGCAATCAAAGTTTCAAATGGATGGCAATATGCGAATTCGTGGTGCGCTGCCAGTGGGTGGAAACAGCACCATTCCAATATATTTGCCAGAAAAACTAAGATATTTATATATGGACGGTATGGCTGACCGGATAGGGATGCTGCCTATCTGTAATTTCACCGGAGGATCAAATTTGATTTCTCTCAATTTATCATACACCGGATTGACTTTCTCCCCAAAAAGCAAAGTCTTCGGTTTAGAAAAGATACAAATTTTGGATTTTAGTTACTGCGATTGCCTTTTCATAGAGCAATCCTTTTTTGACACGTTTCCAAATTTAACCACCTTGCGATTAAGTAGTGTGAACCTAGATCATGATGTTTTTTTTAATATTGGAAAAAGACTTTTCCAACCTTTGAAAAAATTACAAAATTTAGATCTGACTGACAACCTACTGAGTATTCTGCCTGTTGATATTTTTAATGGTCTAACTAAATTGAAAGAAATCTCTTTATCGTTTAATAACTTAGTCTCCATTCCGGATCTTTCAACACTTGTAAATTTACATAATATATATCTCAGTTATAATGCCTTGGCTACAGTTGATGAACAGACACGAAGTACATTGGATAAACTTAATTCAGAGAAAAACCCAATTCGTGTATCACTGTTTGGAAACACGTTTGGTTGTACCTGTGATTCGTCCAGTTTATTAGCCTGGTTTTATCAGACAAGAGTAGATCTAGATGGTAGAAATTATTCCTGTATAGACAAGATGGGCGAAAAGACGACAACACGACTCGTCACCAATCATTACCGAGCTTTACAACTTCATTGCGTTTCGAGTACTTGGTTAACTGTAGCCGTGACTGGAACAAGTTTACTACTTGTGGCTTTGTTGACAATGTTTGTGTTCGTTAAAAACAAACTAAGGATAAAATTGATTTTATTGAGAATGGTCGGGCGTTATATAAAACCCAGAAGACGAGAAGAGTTCCTGTATGACGTATGTATTCTGTATGCGGATGACGTGTATCAGTGGGTGTGCCACGACCTGTGTGTAGAGCTGGGGGACAGACGAGGATTAAAACTTTTTATTCGTGACAGAGATGAGATCCCTGGTGAAGACAAGCCTGTTGAACTTTATAACACCATGGATTCTAGTTGGAGAGTTCTTCTAATTTTAACACCGGGGTTTTTGGTGTCGGAATTTGCGTCAACCACTATGTCCATGTGTTTATCTTTTATAACCATGACAACACCGAATCGGTTAATGTTGATTATGGACAGTAATATGAATATACCTACTAATATAGATTTCTTTCTAGAGTCTGTTAATGAAGAAAATATTTACCGTTATGGTATAAACAATAGGGGTGCAGATGACCCACGTTTCTGGAATAACATCTATCATGGAATAACAGCCGCTAATAATAGGATACATAATCAACAGCATTGATATAATACGTTACGATAATCAACAACATTGATATAATACGTTACGATAATAAACAACTTTCATATAAAACGTTATGATAATAAACAACATTGATATGGTACGATAAGATAATAAACAACATTGATATAGTACGATAAGATAAAAAAAACAACATTGATAGAATACGTTAAGATAATAAACAACATTGATATAGTACTATGAGATAATAAACAACATTGATATAATACGTTACGATAATAAACAACATTGATATGGTACGATAACATAATAAACAACATTGATATAGTACGATAAGATAATAAGCACAACATTGACATAATACGTTACGATAATCCACAACATTGATATAATACGATAAGGTAATAAACAACATTGATATTTTACGATAAGATAATAAGCACAACATTGACATAATACCGTATAAAATAATAAGCGACATACATGTTGTCCGATACAATAAAAAGCACAACAGTTAGAAACTGCTATAAGATATATATATATATATATATATATATATACCATAGATATGATACAAAATTGATATATTTGATATAATACGATAGATGTAAACAATATTGTTGGTTGTGCGGTATATATGTTAGTAAGGATTCCGCAATATAGTGAACTTTCTCGTAAAAATGATGATTTCTCCGTTAGAACAGCTAAAATGTGGAATGATCCTCGCTGTAATATTTCAAAATTAGATAAAGCAAAATGAATATATTGAATACTTCATTCAAATTACTTTCTTTTGAGCGAAGTTATCAATGGTTGTAGTTTTGACAAGATGTGTCCAATATTTTTAGAATTGAATTTAAAATCCTCCTTTTAACTTTTAAATGTATAAATGATATGTCACCTTCTTATTTATCTTCACTTTTAGAAATGTACACACCGAGTCGCACTCTGTGCTCTTCTGATCATGTTTTACTTGTGAATAAATCAGCAAGACTTTTATCATTTGGATATCGATCTTTTACGTCCAGATATCCAAATTCTGGAATTATTCACCTTTTAATATAAGATGTGCTGCACAAATGTATTCTCTTTTAATTCTCTTCTAAAGTCGTTTTTGTTTAAGAAAGCTTTTATCTTATAATTCTTTTAAAATCCATTTGTGATATCAGATTTTTATTCTAAGCTACCATGTTATGTTTTACTTCTATAGTTTTATCTAGTTTTCCTATACTAGTATGTATATTTATTTTTATTACTCATTTTATTGAATTGTGTTGTACAGCGCATCTGAACACGTTTTGTGGAAGATAGCGCCCTATAAATGTTAATAATAATAATAATAATAATAATAAATAATATGCTTTCTCCGTCAGAGCAGATAAAATGTGTGAATGATCTTCCAAAAATTCGAAGTGAGTCCTGTTTCATTCAGAACTAAAACACTATTATTTCAGAAATGTTTTTGAACTGTTTTGTTGTGAATGCGCTTAGAAACACTCATGTGTAATGACGCGCTATATAAATCGAACAATAATAAATTTCTATGATATGCATTCAGTGTACTGTAGCTTCAAACTTTTAACACAGAAGTTGTATTTATATTTGTGTCATATTATAATAAATCAATCCTCAGTTGAATGGTAGTAAATGTTTGCTGATTTTACAGGGGCGGACCCAGAGGGGGTGGGTCAGCTACATAAAAAAAAATTGTAAATCAACACTTTTTATGAGAAAAGTTTAACTCGGTCGTGTGCTTTATCCTTTATCGTCAGATGTGGGACAGGATGGGCACTCAAAGCACGAGATAATGATATAGACATTATGTGATATCCCAATTAATGCATTGCTTCCATGAAATTGAATCACAATTCATAAAAAAAATTGACGTCAAACGAGATGTTGAATTTCTCTGTTTAAAAAGCTCAGTGTGTATGTATATACGCCAAAATGACGATATAGACCATGCGGGAGGGGGGGATACATTAAGGAACCTGGCAAACCCCCTCCTGCAAAAATTCCTGGATCCGCCCCTGTTTTATTAAAATATGTTTTACATCCAGATATTGAGTGATTGTTGATTTAATGAATGATTTGTGGTTTAGATGTTTAACGCCTTTGTGCTTTTGTTAAAGGTATAATAAACACGTGTTATGTATGCACAGAGCGAGGGTCGATTTCGCCAAATTAGTGGCATTCAATTAGAGAAAATCTTCGAGTTTACCATATCGCATGAATGTATTGGCCATTGCCACTTTGACCTTGTAGTCTAGCATACTAGATAAAAGGGAAATTTGATCCTATTATCACTTCGAATTCAGACTGTCAGAGGTATTTCGTGCCCTTAGTTTTCGTACTATCGGTGCCAGTCCCTCCAGCCTGCATTCACTGTGTGGATGCACTTGTTGTTTCAGAATTGTACCTATTAAAACAAGTGAAAATGTATGTCATATATTAAATTATGTGCATTTGAGGCCTGCTATAATACAATAATTTAAATAAACCCAAACAACAGCTATGTCTTGACAGCACCTTATCCGGAAGGGGAACATCGAAGTTTGCCAAACTTTATAAGGAAAGTTGATCAAACTCGACAAGGAAAATATCCACCAAGACATCGGATCTCTTTCAAGCTTGAAATATACATGTCAAAAGAAGTAATGTCATGTAATACTTAGCCAAATGATTCACACCGAAAAAAAATATTACAATATGTATGGCCGTGTTTAAGAAACTTTTGGGTAAAGTGGAGGGAGATATTACTAATATGCCTAATATGTAAGTCTAATGAAAATATGTAAATGTTTGGATATTAATTTTAAAATTGCATACAAATCTATGGAGAATGTAACAGTAATAATCTGACAATTACAATCTAACAATAAGTGAGACTTGAAATGAAAACATAATACCAAAGTTTGACAAGGTTTACATGACAATACAAGAGAATAACCATTAAGTAATGTACCACAAGATATGTGTACAAATATTTAATACCTATATAAATGAAATGAAATGGGGTTTAACGTCCTACTGTTCTGCTCCGAACTGGGATAATGAAGAAGGGGATACGCCATACAGTGTGCTATGGCCTACTCTTATATCGAATTTCAACTGTCAAGGGATCTTTTACGTGCACGGTTTTTCGTCCCATCCGAACAACTAGACAGTTGCCCTTGTAAGGCCCTCCGTCCTGCATCACTGATAAGGGGGAGCCAGGCCGGAAAATCTGGATGAACTTTCTTGGCCAATGCAGGGATCATACCTATATATACTCTTCAAAAAAAGTAGGGGATATTTAGAAAAAATACCAAACTGCGGAAATGCACTGCTGTTTTTATTAGAGGTAACCAGTGTATGTTAATAACAGGCCAATTGCCTACACATGAACATAAAAAGTTCATATGGGCGGCTTATCTGACGGCCCCATTTCACTCGCAAAGAGATACACCGTCAAAAGTGAAAATGGTCGTTTTTGATTTTTGTCTTAATAATGAGTAATTGCTCCACCAATCCTCAGACATTCAGCAATTCGCCGTGGCATGCTCCTAATCAACCGTCCAATCACGATTTGGGGCAATCTGACCCACTCCCCTTGCAGTGTCGCGGCCAATTCTTGCAGTGTTGTCGGTTGACGTTGACGTCGACGAACACATCTCCCGATGAAAATAAACGTAACACACTAAAGCAAAGATACGCTAAACAGTAAATCATATGCAAGAAGCGATAGGAATGCTAACATGGATAGATAAACCAGCACGCGGCAGTTTTCATCAACCTTTCCTTGAAGTGTCAAATTTGACAATGAACCCCTCCCACGTGTATGGCGCTATTGTGTGTCGCATGTAGAGCTCAGTGGTTCTGTTGCGGCGATATACTAGATAAAAGATGGGGGTTTAACTATAATATCATATTTTGCTTTGACATTTAACTTGGATTTTACCACCCAAAAAGAATTCTGAGAAGGTTCGCCTGTTAAGAGAATAAGATACGCAGGTTTACACTGGGAATTTAAACGTTGATCTAATACACGTTTAATGCGATAAAAAAAAATCCCATCATTTGATGACGATGTGGTGTCATGAATAGCAAGATTCGAATCCCTGTAACGAAGGGTTTTTTGTCGTGCACGAGTAGATCGGGCACAAGTAGTGTGAAATGTCATAGATATTTTAACATTAGGATTTGATACATTTAGGTTTGTTGAAATCACACACATCATTTGGACTAGGCACAGAATTGTCATTTTTATTGTCTTGCAAATTACCATCTAATAAATTATCACTTGCCTCATGCATTTTGAACAATGACAGTTTTTCAAACGATAACATTGCGTGAAATAGCTTTAATTAACATCCGCTTGAACCGAAGTGATATCGCTGACAACAATTGTCACCAATTTCGTTTACACGCAGGTTATCTTTCCCTGGGAATGTTCGTTTTTCTTGAAAAATACCGTAGTTCACAGATATGCAGAAATGGACATGTGACCAAATTCATTTCCGTAATATGCATGGAGAAAATCTGCGGTAGAAAATCTGAAGTTGAAAGTCGAATGTCAAAAGTTGAGTTGCTGTTGTTGAAAGTAGAATAATGACGATTTAAAGTTAAAAAGGTCGACGTATTAAACATACATTATGCAAAGCTAAATCTGCAAATTGCAGATCTTTCTTTAGGCCCGAAATTTTATCTAAATTATTAATTAGACATTAATTAACTTATCCAGACCATACTCAACTTTCGATGGCATCGCGATCTGCTGCTTCTGGTTAAATCAAAAAATGGATAATCGAGACTATTTTTTGTATCGTGCCGACTTTAGTAATGATGATCGAGGCTAGGCTAAAAATTCAATCGCTAAATACTCGGTTCAGGGTGGATCAATTTGACTGAAATTTTCAGCAAATTCTCTTTACATTATCTAGTTTTTAACTATTATCTAATCTCCCATAATGTATCTTTAAGTTGGAAAGGACAAGAGGTACATGTTTATGTAGACGTTGTTTTTATACATTGTTAGAGACGTTGGCAAGACGTATCGTCCGATTCGTTCCGAATTACCCGTATTGCTGCTGGCTAATCCCCTACCGAACGAATATTTAATATTCACAATATAATTTCTTAAGACTGACGGTGTGCGGGTAACACTTGCGCAGCATGCTACGCTCGACATCAGTTTGTTACTTTTATTGTAGCTTACAATGTCCGTGTTGTTATGCTAAAAAATGTTGCCTACATCACTGTATTAGTTGGCTGATAGTTAGTTTACAATGTCCATAATAAAGAAGATGATAGGGGAGACAACTATAGGTTTGACAAAACGGGATCAGACGGATAATTCGGTCACCGGGCCACTTTGTAGCGTCTCATACATTTTCTTACAAAGGTACCACTGCACCAGCCTATTAGCAATTAATTAACATATTTAGTG